CAAGGACCTTTGGGTTGGCAATTGAAGGCTTAACCACAACATGATTAGGAAAGAAAGTATGCCATAAAGTCAATTCTGACTCATAGCAACTGCATGGAGAGATGGTAATGGTAGGAGAGAGCAGATCTCCCCCACAGGGTTTCCAGGCTGCAAATTTTTATGGAAACACACTACTATACACCTTTTTCTCTTAGAGAAGATGGTGGGTTCAAACTGCTGACCTTTCAGTAAGCAGTCAGGCGATTATTCACTGTGCCAACCGGGTCCTTAACACTATGACAGGTAGGTCCCAGGAACTGTCCATACAAGTCTCTTTTATCCAAATAACCTGCCTCTAAATGATTCATAGTATTCTTATTACGTCTGAATTTCAAGAGATAAGAAGTAAGACCTTTCTTCTAAAGAAAGAGGCTGGCCCAACAGTGTACCCTGTGTTGCTCCACTATCCTCCACATTTCTTCTTGATGGCCCAAGATGATCCAACTGTACCCATTATACTCTAGAAAGACAGTCCTCATCCCTTTAAGAGCATCTGTTGGAAGTTGGATATGATACCTCCAAATACATCAACTGACTAACTAAAAGATCCACTAACTTTTTTTTATTATTAATTTGAATGAACATTTACAGAGAGTTTAGATTTCCATTCATTCATTGTTGCACTTTTCTCCCTGTCCACCCCTCCCCACCAGTTTGCTCTTGTCTTTGAAAAGTAAAAGAAAAATTCCTTCATTGGTATACAATCCCCATCCACTACCCCCAGTACACTCAACTAGGCAACCTTCATTCTGGACTCTTGTGATAACCGTAATACCCTATCATATATCTCTTTTAACCTGTTCTCTCCCTCATCCGTTTCAATGCAGCATACATTATTTATACAGGTTTTTCTCATTCTTATCCCAACCCTGATGTCAGTCCCATTATACAACCGTGGCATTATGTAGTGTCTGTCCTTTTGTAACTGAGATACTTCACTCAGCATAATGTCTTCCAGGGTCACCCATACTGAATAATATTGCATGAGTTCCTTGTTTTTCAATGCAGTGTAGTATTCTATTGTGCGAATATACCACAGCTTCTATATCCATCCATTTGTTGACGCGCACGTAGGTTGTTTCCAACTCCTTGCTTTCATGAACAAAGCTGCGATAAAAATGGGTTTGCATATATCTGCTTGGATGGTGGTTATGGTCTCTTTAGGATATATTCCTAGTAGTGGAATTGCTGGGTCAAATGGTATCGCTATTTGCAACTTTTTGAGAAAGCACCATACCACTTTCCACAGTGGTTGTTACATTTTACACTTTCACCAACAGTGAATAAGGGTTCCAGTTTCTCCACAACCTCGCCAGCATTTGGTGCTTGCTGTTCTGTTAAATTTTGCTATTCTGACTGGGGTGAGATGATATCGCATAGTTGTTTTGATTTGCATCTCTCTTAGAGCTAGGAATTTTGAACATTTCTTCATGTGCTTGTAGATCCACTAACTTTTATCATGTGATTTATCAGTAGGGAGGGAGTCTTTGTTTCCCATGGTCATATATGTAACTAACTTCAATATATTTGGAAAAGTACTTGTCCCTCTAGATATACACGTCATTCACTCATTGTGTATGAATATATCTAGATTGCTCTTTCCCCAGATCTAATGAAAACTTAATTGTGATCTTAGACTGACTGTTCTTTAAGTGTCAATATCAGCTGCCAATGCAAAAGGAAAGTGTGGTTTGTAAATTCAGACTGATATTTGAAATTTCTAGGGATGGCAAGAGACAGCTGGGAAGCTTGGAGTCACATGAGGCTTACTGGTTGTTTGGAAAGGAGAATTGTAAAAAAATAATGTCAAGATGCTCAAAGATGAACATCACTAGGTTCAACATTTTGTCCATTTGGGGCATGAGAGTTAATTAAGCCAGCCCTACAGAAGGCATTATTTAAACTTATTTATATTTAAAATAAAAGTGATAGCACTTAAAAAAATGTCTTACCAGGGAAGCTCAGTCAGTCCTCCTTGTATGGCAATAGCAGACTTAACCCTATTAGCAAATTGAACTGCATCTTCCCCCTCCTAAAAAAGAAAAACAAAAGAAAATTATAAGTATAATTTGGACATAAAGCTCTTAAATAATACCTTAAAATGTCTTTTATTTGTTTTAAAATATAAAACTCAAAATTTATTACAAACATGTCCTATTCCAGGTGAATCATGAGACATACCATCTTTTTAAGGAAATACAGAGCTAAATTGTTTGGTTTTTAATCATTAGTGTTAACCAAGACAAAACATTCCATAGTATCTGTACCTTCTCTGAACCGAGAAAAACCAAACCCAAACCCACTGCTTTAAAGTTTAGTTCTGACTCAAACCACCATCTGGTTTCTAAGGATGTAAATCTTCATAAGATGTCAATCTTTCTCCTGTGGTGCAGTTAGTGGATTTGAATTCTCTCCCTTTTCTTTAGCAGCACAATGTGTGATGCACTACACTATCGGCCAGTGAACAAACAGCGCCTGTAAAACTATTGTGGAAAAGAGCTTCTGAATATGAAAAGGTTTCACTTAAAGAACACAAAATCTATTACTGGAGTTCCTGGGATGTATAAAGGGTTAATGTGCTCAAGCTGCTTACTGAAAATTTAATAGTTCAAGCATGCTCAATGGCACCTTGGTAGAAAAGCCTGGCTACCTAATTTTGAAAAACTGGACACTGAAAGTGCTGTGGAGCAGAGCTCTATTCTGTTACACACACAGAGTCACCATAAGCCAGAACCCATTTGAAGGCAGCTGGTAAACACACTTTAAAAAACAAACAAACAAAAAAGACTCATTTATGAGAAAACAAGAAGGCAGTCCAACTTTAGCTGATATGAAGATGGGATGTACTCAGGTTTTCAGGTGAATGTTCTCTTGATGTTATTTAATAAAAATAAAGTACAAAGATCTGCTATTATTGATGGAATACCTCTCTGGTCATGGGAGGCATGTACCACACATCACAGACGATGGCCCAGCTGGTCATCATTCGAAGCACATAGCTCACCATGTTGTATTTACTACTGTTCCAAAAGGCATCACCAAATTGAGGGTTGTACTGAGGAAATAAGAAAAGAAAATGCATCTTAATTATGAATGAAAAGGCGACTTCTCTTATGCATGTCCATCTTTTTCAAAAGAGTGAACCAAGCAAGTAACATATAAGTAAAAAGACACATTTCCCAATAAAAAAGAGGCATGAGTATCCTTCATAGAAATGATCTAAAAGAGCAAAATAAGCCATACAGAACACATTTGTTGTTGTTGTTATGTGTCATCAAGTTGCCTGAGACTCAGTGACCCTATGTATAACCGCTCTGAATTCTGCTCTATCCTGCACCAACCTTATTGTCTCTTACACACCTACCCCATGACCCTAGCCAATCCATCTCATCCAGGGTCTTCTGCTTCTGTGCTGTCCCTTCAACCTCCCAAGCATGATATCCCTCTCCAAGGAGACTGATCCCTTCTTACAATATGCCCTGAATATGTCAGACGAAGCCTCAGAATCCTTGTCTCCAAGGAACAGCCTGGTTTCGTCCTCTCCAGGCTGAACCTGTTCTCCTGGCAGTCCATGGTATAGTCAATACTCTTTTCCAGCACCACAGCTCAAAGACATCAATTCTCCTTCTATCGTTCCTAGTCATTGTTTAGCTTTCTGATGCATAGGATGTAATTGTGAAGACCACAGCCTGTATCAGGCTCACCTTAGTCTACAGACAGACATCGCTGCTCTTCAGTACTTTGGCAAGGTCTCTAACAGCAGACTTTCCCGATGCAATTCGTCTTTTGATTTCCTGGCTGCTGGTGCCAAGAGTGCTGATTTTGTAGCCAAGCAAACCAAAGCTGTTAACAATCTCAACCTCTTCACTCTATCATGATGCTGCTAAACAGCCCAAGTGGTAAGAATCTTTGTTTTTAGAGAATACTGCTTTTATAATTCAAGCTCTATAGCATGGACTACTGTTGTATCAACTGATAGACAGATACAGATATATAGATGATAGAAATGATAGAGAGACATAAACAACTTAATGAATTAACTCATAGCTGTTCCTTCAGCAAGTTTTTCAGAGACTATAAATTACAGAGGATTAGATTGAACACTTTTCTCCTGTGGAGTAGCTAGTGAGTGGATTCAAACCAAATGCCCTACCCACAAGGCCTCCAGAGCTCTTGGGGTTATATATAGGAATAAGGATAGTCTAGGAATATAGGAACTACATCCACTTTGCATACTGCATCTTCAGAATTTAATACTCTGCCTAACACACAATCATACAGCACATATATATATATCAGTTTTTCTTATAGTACTCTCACAATATTCCTTTCATTTCTTTTTTTTCTTCTAATTTTAATGAAAGTTTACAGAGACTTTGGATTTCCATTCATTCATTGTTGCACTTTTCTCCCTGCCCATCTTCCCCCCAGTTTGCTCTTCTCTTTGAAAAGTAACAGAAAAATTCTTCCATTGTTATCGCTCCTCCCAAGTCCACTCCACTATGCAGCCCTCGTTTTGAAACGCAACAGAAAAATTCTTTCATTGTTATACAATCCCTCCCTGCAAGTCCACTCCACTATGCAGCTTTCATTCTGGACTCCTGTCATGACAATAATACCTAATCACATATCCCTTTTAAACAGTTCTTTCCCACATCTGTTTCAGTGCAGTAAACACTGTTTATCCCATCTTTCTCAGTCTCCCCTCAACCCCGATGTCAGTCCCGTTTTACAACAGTGGCACTATGCTGGATTTGTCCCTTTGTAACGGAGATATTTCCCTCAGCGTAATGTCCTCCAGGGTCACCCATTTTGTATAATATGTCATGAGTTCCTTGGTTTTCAATGCAGCATAGTATTCCATTGTGTGAATATACCAAAGCTTCTCTATCCATTCATTTGTTAAGGGGTACTTAGGTTGTTTCCAACTCTTTGCTATTGTGAACAAAGCTACGATAAACATGGGTGTACATATATCTGCTTGGTGGCAGTTATTGTTTCTTTGGGGTATATTCCCAGTAGTGGAACTGCTGGGTCAAATGGTATTTCTATTTGCAACTTTTTGAGAAAGTGCCATACAGACTTCCATAGTGGTTGCAACATTTTACACTCCCACCAACAGTGAATAAGGGTTCCAGTTTCTCCACAACCTCGCCAGCATTTGTTGCTTGCTATTCTCACAATTTTTAAGTTTTATACTCTATAAAGAGCTACCAAGGCACTATTTATTTTTATGGGGAGAAGTATGTCATTTTTACCTTAATTGCAACTGGATATATGGTTCCTCCAACTTCAAAGCTTCCCTTTTTAAACATCATGACTGAAGTATTGTTGATACAAGTTCCTGCAGAGGGATGAGGGTAGGGAGTGCAAGGAGAATATTTTTAAATACATTTATAAAACAATTGTTGACATAAAAGAATTTAAAATCATATCAAATTTTCAGATATACAGCTAACATTAGACAGATCAATACTTATTTAAGTAATAATCTATCTAAGCAGGTATAACAGTAAATTTTTATTTTATTACTAGACACTCTTGTGGTATAATTTCTTCACAGCATGTCACAATTTCCTTAAATTTAAAGTAAAACCCTTAGAAATTTAAGATCAAAAATCTTCTAGGTTCATTAACCAAAAATGGTGTCTAAGATTTAAAAAAAAGAAAAAAAAATACAGTGACTTCCATCAAAAAAGTGGAGAATACTCTAGAGAAGGATGTCTCATTACTACAGGATGGCAGAGATCAGGACTTGTGATCAGGAGCTGCTGAATTGATTCTGGATCATCGTGACCACAACAGATCAAAACTTTACCTAAACCAACACCATTCTTACAATCTCCCTGTGCCCAGGCCCCATTGTTGCAGTCAGTATCCCAAACCATTTCACTGATTTTCCCTCTCCTTCACTAGTCCTCTATTTTCCTAAGCACAATGTCCTTCTCCAAGCACAATATCCTTCTGATAATATGCCCAAATGATGGGAGATAAAGTCTCACCTCCATGTCTCTAAGGAACCCTCTGGCTGCATGAAAATAAAGATACCAGTTCTAGAACAATTTTATCCATCCATGCATGTACTCTGAGCAGATGATAGTTGTTTTTATTTTGGTATCCAGCCCCCATTCTTACCTTCAGGAAAGATCAATATAGGTAGTTTCTTTTTATCAGCAATGTGTTCCTTCAGTCTATGAAACAAATTGAAGATCAGAATTTTACTTTTAAAAATACAGTTCTCTTTAGTATCCTCCATAACTCTACTATACTCCTATTGTACATGCCTTCTATCTTACACTGTTAACCTTCATATCAAATCAAACTAAAGTCACAGTGGTTGAGATGATTCTGACTGAAGGACCCTTACAGGACAAAGTACAATGGTTTTAATCTATACATGCTATAGGTCTTTACAGAAGTCCATTGCCACATTCTTTTTCCACAGAACTCTGGTAGGCTCAAACCACTGGCATTTTCACTAGCAGCTGAGTGTTTAACCATTATATTAATGAAGTTTTTCATATGCTACTATAATTTTAAGACAATATGGGGGTGAAGAAATCATATACAAGTAAAGGAAATGGACCCAAGTCATTCCCTTCCTAAACAAGTGAAAGGATATCTGCGCTCTTTCAATTTCTCAATTAGTGACTTTCAGTGCCCTCTGCTATCTTAAAAAGAACACCAGACACAATCTTCTGATGTGAGCTCTGGAGCTCCCATGTCAAAAGTTTTCCACCCATATCTGTGTACTTCTATTTACTCACCTAAAAAATAGGAAGACATATAGACAGCTGAAGCTGTTTATTGTGTGGCTAGTAAGAATAAGAAGACTCAGCAAGCTCTGGTGGCCTAGTGGCAGGAAACTACACTGCAATCCCAGAGGTGTGCGGTTCAAATCCACCAGATGCTCTGCTGAAGGAGGAACAATCGCCTCCTGTACCAGTCAGATCCAATTTGACGGTACACACATAAAAATAAATTGAAAAAAAAAGAATAAGAAGACTCCAGAAATGAGTCAGATTGAACCTTCCTATGAAATACACACCCAAAAAACTGAGGATCTTGTCCATCCTGTAGCTAAGCACTATCTTTCTAACTCTGTTCACTGGAAGCTGGGGAGAGAGGCTTCAGACCCTATTTGGTATAAACAGTTAATGGTCTTCTCAGAGGCATCTAAGAAGAAGGCCTATTGATGAACTTTTGAAAAACCAACCATTTGGACATCCTAAGGAGCCTCATTCCACTCTGACACACAGAGAGTCGACATGGGTCAGAAACAACTTAATGACAACTGGTTTTAGAAGGCTTAAAGGGCCCCAATACTGAATAGTTTGAGGATGATGGACAGTTTTCCTAACTTTCCTAACTGAAAGCAGATTTCAACATGTAGTTTTTACTCAAAGTTCACGGGCACATTGTTCACAGGAGTCATAACCACAGTGCTTTCAGATAATGGTTCAAGAAAAAAAAACTAAAAATAATTATTTTCCAGAATAAATTTCTAGTAATTCACATTAATCTCTACACTCTATCTTCAGAAATGTCTTCGCTGTTCCACGAAAAGCATTAAATGTCTCTGTCTCTAGCTGGATTTAAGAGATAAACATAATTTGACAAATGCTTCATCTACCACCTATTGGTTGGGCAAACATTTGGCCAATTATTTAATTTTTATTATAGTAATTTTTCTTTCTAAAGGAAAGCAGACTGCCGCATACAGCTCCTCATTTGGAAGGTCTGGAGTCTTGGAAGCTTAACTATGCTACGTTCTCCTCTATGTAGTAATTTCTAACTTTGAAAATTCAGTGACTGGCCTATACATAAGGCACAGCAATACAGGTCATCTAATCCCACTGGACTACTTGAACTCGAACTTGCAGGCATGAGTGAGCAATGACTCAAGTCCAACTCCAATAGGTTTTGAGAGGCTATAAAATGATATGGGAAGAGGTTGCCCATTTTCTCCCCCAGTGTCACTGGCAGATTCAAACCACCAGAGCGGCACTCCTTTCGGGCTGAGAGTGCAACTCCCTGCCACTAATCCTCCCTACACCGCTCCAAAGCTCGAAAACTCATTGCTATCAAATTGGAATTGACTCATAGCAGTCAATTACATGGAAGGAGACTGTCTTTCTCCTAAGGGACAGATCATGGATTTGACTGGATTGGCAGTACAAATCCTTACCTACTAGGTAACCAGCATTTAAAAAATCCTAAGGTGATTAATCAGAAAATCACATGCAACTCGTGTTTTATGGGTTTTTGTTTTTGTTTTTTTGTTGGTTTTTTTTTTTGGCTTTAATGTGTAGGTGCTTCCCTTTTGGGCACAAAGAACAAGAATAATTTCTGTTTACTGCAGCAAGTACTCATCACTCTGCTTACCTCTTAACAACCAAGTGTCGATCCCTCATTTCTGAGCGCTCAAACCAGACATGTGGGCAGGCTTTGACCATCGCTCTCTGAATAATTCCCATTAGTCCACCATGAACCTGACCAACCTAGTTGTACCATGAGAAAAATAAAAAAGTATAAACGCATGGGTATAAAAAAAATTGCAGATTTTGTTGGGGGAGCTGGGGGGATAGAGGTTAGTACATAGAAGGAATATAATCCTACAAATAGAAAATTATGATTTGGTAGGTAGGCTAAGATGCATGAACCTCTGCTTCTTATAAAACACGTCTATAATACAACTCCACTAGATTACAGGAAAAGACAAATAGAATGGAAATGAAAGGGTCTGTGCATAAATGCAAGGATTACTTTACTCTTTTTTAATGCAAATACACAGTACTGTGATGCAAGGATTCTTAACCTGAGGGTTCTTGGATGGCTTTTAGGAGGGATCCATAACTACCTTGAAATTACAAATAAAACTACATGTGAGTCTTTTTCCTTAAAACCCATTGTATTCACCTCACAGCTCATCTTCCTTGGGTTTTCTAAGACTATAAATCACATGGATGGAGGTTGTCCATCTTTCTCATTTGGAGCTTCCTATGCATTTAAACTGCAAGCGATGCTAGGCATTTGACTTAGCAGTGCAACTCCCTATAGACTACGCCATCAGCACTCTCTTTTCCTTAAAAGGGATAAAAAATTTTAAAGATTCCACAAAAGAATTGAAAGGAGAAACAGAATTTTACATTCTCATCAATTCTAGACCTCCTAGAGCCATGGAGGATAGATTCAACCCTCAAACTACTGTCCCAAGATAATTATCAAAGTTTAAAACTATTCCTGAAATCTTAAAACTGGGAGAGGCGGGAAGCTAAATTAACCAGAAAAATGGTTTATCTTGAACACTATGTTCTTCAAAAAAAAATTATTTCTTTTGTTATTGTTGAGAAAGTCCTTAATACATATACATTTTAGTAACATTAATTACATTCTTTGAGTTCTGTGTCCGTCTTCACCCTCCTTTTCTGAACTATTCCTGCCTCAGTAACAAACTCATTGGCCTCTACAATTTCTATCTGATCTTTCAAGCTGTGGTTGTCAATCTGATGCCATATAGTTAGTGCTCAGAAGGGCATTATACTCAAGGCAGATCTGTTTTCTAATGAAGCTAAATGGTTGTTTGGTTTTAAGATAATTTGACAGAATTTTTTTTTTGTTTTAAATTTAAAGAGCACCTAAGAGCAACAGTTTCATGGTTACCATGAATTTCATAGCACACACTTCAAATCCACCAGCTGTTCTGCGAAAGGATAGGCAATCTTCTCCTGTGTAATGAACAGGAAATCCCCCAGGAGGGTCAGTTTTGGGTAAGTTCTAACCCACAGCACACAATAAAAACAAACAGACAAACAAACAAAAAACATGGCTTCAGAAGTCTTGGGTCCATGAGCATTTGAATTCTGTTCTGCATCTCTCCTCTTTTTTGATCAGAATTCTTCTATGGCATCTATGATCAAGATTTTCAGTAATAACACTGAAATAGTAATATTAAATTTTCAGTATTTACGTCTAAAAGAGAGATGTAACTGGGTATTTCTGTCATCACAGGAGACTAGAGCGAGGGCTGCATGGTGGAGGGGACCTGGGGGAGGGTTTGTAAAACAATGAAAGAATCTTTTCTTTTACTTTTCCATAATTTTTGGACTCATGTACTTATAACTTGTTAGTCAAATTTGTGTCTTCTAGGTTGCAACACCCCCATGATACATCTTCAAGGATATGTACATGTACAGCCAAGCACAATCAATAAGAGGGCATCTGAATTCCAAAATCAATCTCCATAATAGTCTATGTGTTTCCTACTGCCTAAGGGGCCCTTTAGAGTAGTGAGAGAAGATCTTCACCCTGAAACCCACAGCGTCCCTTTTCAGCAGGAAGTAGCTAAGAGAATACGCCGTCCCCCTTTTCCTTATGACTCAGGGTGAAGTCTGTCTCAGGGAGGAGTGATAGGGAATGGCAAAGGATACACTGACAAAGAAGATTAATCAGAACTGGCTTTGACAAGCACTGTGGCATTTGGACAAGAACAAACTGGGAGGAGGGTAGAGAGAATAGTGCAACAATGAATGAGTGGAAGCCCAAAATCTCTGTAAATGTTTATGAAAATTAATAAAATATAATTATAGAAAAAAAAATTTTCAGTATTTAATAATTGTTGTTGTTATGTGCCTTTAAGTCGCTTGCAACTCATAGCAACCCTATGTAAAACAGCCTAAATGCTGCTCTATCCCTTGCCAGTCTCATTGTCTCTGACACGCCTATTCCCATCACCCCAATGACAGAATCAATCCATCTCATTAGGGTCTTCCTCTCCTGCACTGTCCCTCCATCCTTCCAAGCATGACGTCCCTCTCCAAGACTGGTCCCTCCTTGCAACATGTCTAAAATATGGCAGACAAAGCTTCAAATTCCTGCCTCTAAGGAGCAACCTGGCTTCACCCTCTCCAGGATGAACTTGTTTGTTTGTTCTCCTAGCAGTCCATGGTATAGTCAATACTCTTTTCCAAAACCACAGCTCAAAGGCATCAACTCTCCTATCATCCCTCGTCACTGTTCAGCTCTCTGAAGCGTAGCAAGACCATGGCCTGTATCAGGCATACCTTAGTCTACAGACTGACATCATTGCTCATCAGAACCCTGGAGAGGTCTCTGACAGCAGACTTTCCCAATGCAACTAGTATTTTAATTTTCTGGCTGCTCGTACCAAGAGTGTTAATTGTAGAACCAAGCAAACTAATGCTATCAAGAATCTCAATCTCTTCACCATCTATCATGATGCTGCCAATCAGCTCAATGGGGAGAATCTTTGTTTTCTTGATATTAAGCTTCAATTCATATTGAAGGCTACAATCCTTGACCTTTTGCAGCAAGCGCTTCAAGTCCTCCTCAATTTCAGCAAGCAGGGTTGTGTCATCTGCATAACGCAGATTGTTGATGAGTCTACCTCCAATCCTGATGCCACACGTCTCCTCATAGAGCCCAGCCTCCTGGATAATCTGTTCTGCATATAGATTGAAAAGATAGAAAGATAGGACACATCCTTGACACTCATCCTTCCCAATTTTGAACCATGCAGTGTGTCCTTGCTCTGTTCTGATGACTGCCTCCTAGTCCAAGAATAAGTTTCGCATAAGCACAATCAAGTGTTCTGGGATTCCCATTCTTGTCAATGTAAGCCACAGTTTGTTATGATCCACACAGTCAAATGCCTTTGCATAGTCAATGAAACACAGATAGACATTCCTCTGGTACTCTCTGCTTTCAGCCAAGATCCATTTGACATCAGCTATAATATCCCTAGTGTCACAGCCTCTTCTAAATCCAACCTCTACTTCAGGCAGTTCTCTGTTGATGTCCTGTTTCAGTCATTTTTAGACTATCTAATTTCCTGATCTCGTGGTAAAGAAGATAGCTATTCACAGAGGCAATTAACAGTTGTATCCCTTTCTCCTCTTTCTGATTCTCCTTCTTTCTCTGTTCTTCTAGGTAAATTGAGACCAAATATTGTGTCTTGAATGACCACTTGAAAGCTTTTAAGACCCCAAAAACAATGCAACAAACATGATGTTGTTGTTATTGTTGAGGATCATCGAATTGGAACTGACTCATAGCTGACCCTCCAATGGGTTTTCAGTGGCATTAAATTACATGGGAGGAGACTTTCCATCTTTCAGAGTAGCTGGTGGATTCAAACTGCATGCCTTTGGACTGGCAATCTCATGAAATCACAGGAACTATGCAATAAGCATGATGTAGAACAGAACTAAGGCCAATCAACTGGCTACCCTACAAAAGTAGCTTTAGACCATCATTTTGTTGTTCTTATTATTTGGTTATTAAAGTAAATACATCTACCCAACAATTTTTGCCAAGTCAATTTTTCATAAGTATACAACTTATTGGACACAATTTATTATAATCAGCAGTGCAATCTTAATCAAGGCTGTTTTTTTTCTCACAGTTAACCCTTCTTTCCCCCACCTCTAGTAAGCACTAATTTTGCTTTTTAGTGTCATTTTATATAAGTGAAGTCATAAAATATTTATCTTTTGTTCTTGACTTATTTCACTCAGAACAAAATCTTCAAGTTCTGTCTATTGTAATATCAAGACTTTACTTCTCACACTGGCTAGGTAATCCTCCTATATACAAGTGCCATGTTTTGTTTATTCTTGTTTATTTTGTTTGTTGATGAGCATTTCAGCTCTTTCTAGTCATTGGCAGTTGTTAACAGTTCTGCTTTTAACACTGGTATAAAAGATTCTTTTTGAGTGTCTGCTTTCGATGCTTTATGGTATTATTACTCATGAGTGGAATTAATTACTGAATCAGAGTAGTTTTCTCTTTCTCTATTTTAGCCATAATTTGTTATAACCTACACAGTTGAATGCTTTCGCATCATCAATAAAGCACAAATCGACATTCTCCTGGTATTTAGCCAAGATCCATTTGACATTAGTAAGACCCCTGGTGCCACAGCATCTTCTAAATCCAGCTTAAACTTCTGGAAGTTCTCTACTTACTGTTCTAAGCATTTTTAATATTCAGCAATATTTTCCTTCCATGTAATATTAACGCTATTGTTTGATAATTTCCACATTCTGCTGAGTTATGTTTCTTGGTAATAGGAACAAATACGGATCTCTTCCAATAAGTCAATCAGGCAGATGTCCTCCAAATTTTTTTGGCATAGGCTGGTGAGCATGCACCTGGGACCTTCAATCCTTGGCCTTCCGCAACAAACACTTTAGGTCTTCCTCAATTTCAGTAAGCAAAATAGTGTCATAATTGAAATTGAATAATAGTTAAAATATGGTTATCCACTAGTGACATTTAGAAGTAGGAGTGGCACTCACTTCCTAAACAACATGCTTCTAGAAACTCTATGAACTTTGATAAATGTCGATAGTAGTAGAGGGGCCTCAGGCCTTTTGTTCATAGGGCTGCTGTGAGTCATGTGACTCGAAGGCCATATACTTAATTTCTATATTTTAGACAAATTCTAAAAAAATTCTGGTGTAAGTTCAAATATTTATAAAGAATTTCAAACCAATGTGTATGAGCTTTGTAAGTAAACTAGTATAAAATAAAAATTATTTAAAAAAGAAATTCAAACCCTCCACAATGATAATGTAACCTGTGCAGAGCCGATCAGAGACACATACCCCCTAACTGTTGACTCCAACTGCTGGTAGAACCATGTGTGTCAGAAGAGAACTGTGCTCCGTAGGTTTCTGATGGCTGATTTTCAAGAATTTTATCACCAAGCCTTCCTTCCAAGACACATCTGGAAGGATCTGAACCTCGAGCTTTCAGTTAGCAGTTGAGCATATTAATTGTTTTCACTACCCAAGGACGACTCCTACCTGAACAGAATAATTATTTATAAATCAGAGTTCTCAAGATAGCACACCAGGCCATAACCACAAATCATATCGAAGTGAAACTTATTCTGCCTAAATCCCAACCCATCACTTTGAGAACAGACAAAATGATCCCCAAAGCGCCTCTCCTTTCATCCCAGTCCACAGTCCTATTAACAAACAAAGGCAAATGAGCACCAGCTAAACTCCTAAATGTACTTGCTCCTTAAAGGTGAGGCAGATAATCCTGACAAAGTCTCACAAGAAAAAATCCTCTGCCATCTAGTCAACTGCAACTCATAGTGATCCCACAGGACATAGGGTTTCCACTGCTGAAAAGCTTACAGAAACAGACTGACTTCTCTTCCTTCCTCAGAGCAGCTGGTGAGTTTGAACTTCTTCTTTCTGTCAGTAGCCCAGCACTTAGCCTACAAGCACCACCAGTGATCCTAACAAATTCTAAAGGGTCCTCAAAAACACTGGAAAAACACCAGAATATAGTGTACACTCATTTGCATTATAAGTGTTTTGAGGTTTCCGTTTTACAGTGAGCTTTGTGGTTTGTTGTAGCATTTTATGTCAGAGTTTTTGGATGTGTGTTTTTGAGAAGGTGTGGTAGTGGCAGACAAAGACTGAAAAATGCAGCAGAGCACAAATATTTACCTTTCCTGTTTGATTCTCATTGTTGTTGCTGTTTACCATCAAGTAAGAACCAACCCATAGCTGACCCTCCAGCAAGTTTTCAGGGGCAGTTAATCACATGGGAAGAGATTGCCCATCTTTCTCCCATGGAGCAGCTGGTGGCCTCGAACCTTGTGCCTTTGGGATTGCAGCGCAGCTTCTTGCCACTAGGCCACCAGAGCTCCATTAGTGTCACATATTTTTTTCTAATCATATATGACTCTCAGGAGGGACAGAGAACTAATCAGCTTGCTGAGGGATTTGCAAAGCTCCAAGGAGGAAGATGTAAATGTTGCAGAATGCAATTAAGCACTGGCAGAGATTTTAAAGGCAAGACGGAACCATCAACTTTGCAAAGTTCTTTCAAGCTTAAATGTACCTACCTTTTTCGAGAAAGTTCGTGTTTTACTATGCTTTTCTTATAGGACGTAATCCTCATGTAAATATATTACATAACTTAAACAGTCAAACAGTCACAACCTGCTCTTTTTATAATATAAAATTGACTTCTTAATTTGTACCAAGAGAAACCAAAAGTTTTAAATAATCCGCAGAACGTGCCACTACTCAAAATAGGAGCAGCTCTTACCATAGCATAGCAACCATCCGTTGTCAAGATGAAAACATCTATGGGAGAGGTATGGTTGGCCACACAAATGCTTCCTTTCTGGGGTCTGTACTGCCTGTAAGAACAATAACGATAGTCATTATGTTTTATAAGATTAATTACAATACCCCCAATGGGACCTCCCTCTTTTTACTTATTCCCTGTAACTCTTGTTTTTGTAATTTTTCTATTGTACTCTTTCCTCCTTTCTGAGTTTTAATCCTTGAATAAGGGAGACCACAGTCTTGGGAGACTATCAGGGTCAACTGGCATAATGTCGTCCACCGAAACGGTGTTCTGCATTCTACTTCGGAGACTTAAATGCTTGAGTAGCCATTGTAGATGCAAATTTCGTCCAAAATAAAGAGGGAAGAAAAGCAAAGATGCATATAAGTAATAATTCCAAAAGACTAATGGACCATGAGAACAATAACTTCTACAACCCTATGACAAGAAGAACTAGACAGTGCCCACTGACCACTGCTAACCACCCTACGCGGGATTGTGCTGGAAGGTCATGGATAGAGTGGAGGAAAATGCGGGGAAAGCCTCAGAAATGTAAAAAGTGTCAAGCTGACTGATCTGCTAGAGATTGGTGTGATTCCAGAGACTACAGCCCTAAGACATTTTCCAAATAAAATTTACCTCCATGGTTCAACATTCAACAGAATAATATCTTTTTAAATAATTATGTATATAGCATAAAAAACAGTATTTAAAAATATAATGGAGTCATCAAAAATCAGATTCATGTTTAATAGCTTTACTTAGCTACATTTATTCTGACTGGAGATGAGGGAAGCACAGGTGTTTTGACACTAGGATGAAATAAAATCACAATTTTTGTTTTATGAGAACTGAGTGAGTTTTCATACCTATAACACTAAAGGTCATGCTGTTAAATCAGAATACTATGTGCTATGTAATATTAAATAATATTGTTATATACTATCAAGTTGGAACCAACCCATAGCTAACCCTTCAGTGGGTTTTCAGAGGTCTTAAATAGTATGGGCGATTGTCCATCTTTCTCTTATAGAACTGGTGGATTTGAATTGTGTGCCTTCAGGTTGACAGCACAAGTTCTTACCACTAGGAATGAGACCTCGTCTAATAAGTTATTTTTATGCCTATAGCTATGCCTTAAGGAACTCTGAAGAATGAAGAGCTGAGTAATTAACATTATCAGATTGCTACCCAAAAAGTAAGCACTTCAAATTCACCAACTCCACCATGAAAGAAAGATAGATAGTCTCCAGCTGTAACAACCTATAGCTTCATAAACCCAACAAAGCATGACTATGGATAAAAACAAATGTTTTGGAGAATATTCAGCCAAAGTGCTCCTTTATCTTATATTCTTAAGGCATGTTGCCAGGAGAGGCTATTCCTTGGAGAGGGGCATCATGCTTGAAAAGATGGAGGGTCAATGAAGGAGAGGAAGACCTTCAACCAGGTGGATTGACACAGTGACTGCTGCAATGGGCTCTAATGTGTCAGGAAGTATGAGGATGGCACAGAATAGGACAGGGTTCAGATCTGTTGTTCATAGGGTTTCCACAAGTCATACTCAACTCAGTGGCACCTGACAACAACATGAGTTAAAAATGGCTGGGGGTGGGGGTGGGGTGGGGGTGGGTAAAGGAAATGGGAAAGATCCACCGGGGATCTGGAAAGACAGGGTAATGACAGGCATGGTTTAATGGTGATTGATTTAATAACATATAATAAATGAGAATGTATGAAACACAAGGTGAAAGAAGGATAGTGTGAAACACAATGTATACAAACTTTGTGTACAAACCAAGCTTTTTGTAAATTATTATTAATTTTAATTAGCATTTACAAAGATTTTGGATTTCCACTCATTCATTGTTGCACTTTTCTCCCTGCCCACTGCCCCCCTCCCCAGTTCACTCTTCTCTTTCAAAATTAGAAGAAAAATTCCTTCATTGGTATACAATTCCCCCAGACCACCTCCCCCGCCACCCCGAGTACACTCCACTCTGCAACCTTCATTCCGAACTCTTATGATAATCATAATACCATATAATATATTGCTTTTGACAGTGGGTTTTGGATAGAGCTATACCTTAGGAGTGGCATCCACTTCCGAAACCACATGCTTCTGGAAACGCTATGAACTTTGATAAACGTCAAAAGGTATAGAAAGACTTAAGGTCTTTTGTTCATAAGGTGGCTATAAATCTTGCTCGACTCGACGGCAATCAACAACAACAACATACCTTAATCTATAGTCCTGAAAAACAACTTGTTTCATTACACATATTTGAATCTAACTGATTAGATTCAAGTTTCCTGAAACACAACATTCTTTAAAAAACAGTTGACGATCAATGAACATGTCCCGTAATGGCGGCTCACTGATCTTATAATTATCATAGCAAAAGTGTCTACTGAAGTTTTTATAGTATTTGGAGCACATACTGTTCTTTTTTTATTATTGCAAATTAATTTTTTTAGTTCAGTGAAGGTTTACAAATTGGGTTTTTTTATATAATCATTCAGGCACATTGTTGCGTGACATTCATTACCATTACCAGTGATTAAAGTAATTCACTAATTACAATACCTAATCAATCTTTTCTTATCATGCCATGCTCTTAAATGGTTTTATATGCTGATAAAATTGTCAACTCATCAAAGTTTTATTCAAGTTCCAAGCTTTATATAAGAACTTTTAAATATCTTCATTATTTGAAGCACTGATAGACATGCTTTACCCAATCTGCAAGTGACTTTTATGCCTGCATGTTGCTGTGTGTGTTGGTCAGTCAGTTTTGATTCCTAGTGATCCAATGGGACAGAATATAATTGCTCCATATAGTTTCTTAGACTGTAATCTTTATTACAGCCTAAGAATAGATTGCCAGGATTTTTTTCCTTTTTCCTATGAAGGGCTGGTGAGTTGGAGCCACTGACTTTTCAGTTATAGTCTAACACTTAACCATTATACCATCAAGGCTCCTTTTAAAAATTTTGTTGTAGTTGCTATGTGCCGTCAAGTCATCTGCAACTCATAGCGATCCTATGTTCACTAGCTCTGAAGCCTGCCCTGTCCTGAGCCAGACTCACTGACTCCAACACATCTACCCCCATTATCCCAGTTGCTGTATTGATCCATCTCATCTGGGGTCTTCCTCTGAGCTGTCCCCTCCACCCTTCCAAGCATGATGTCCTTCTCCAAGGAGAGGTCCCTCCTAGACACATGCACAAAGAATGTGGGATGGAGCTTCAAAATCCTAGCCTCCAAGGAGAAACTTGGCATCCCCCTCACCAAGACAGACCTGTTGCTTTCTTGGCAGACCAATGTAAAGGTTTCTGAGTTGTTTATTCTTGACACTAGAATCAGACCTCACTACTCCTAGTCTTCTTTCCACAACCCTACAGGCCTATTAAGTTCATAATGTTTAAATCAGACAGATTTGCTCTAAGGCCTGGTTTTACCAATTACTCCCTATTGTGGGTTGTACTATGTCTCCTTAAAAGATATATTTAAGTCCCAACACGTGGAGCCTAACAATGTGGCCTGACAAAAAAATGGGGCTCTTTGCATATAAAGTTAAAATGAGGTTGCATGGCTTAGCACAGGTCCTAAATCTAATGACTGTGTCTTTACAAGAGAATAGAAAGAGAGCTTTAGATATAGGGACAGAATAGGTATATAGGCCATGGATAGATGGAGGCAGAGACTGGGATGACATAACTGCAAATCATTGATGGCCAATGATTGCCAGGAGCCCATAGAAGCTGAGAGAGTCAAAGGAGGATTCTTCTTTGGGGCCTTTAGATTTCAGATTTCTTTTTCTTATTGGTTTGCATGCAATAATTTGTATATATTGTGCTTCATTCATGTACATTATGTTTTATACACTCACTGATATACACTGTCTTTTATATAAACAATTACTATTGATCTATACCTATTATTACCCTGTCTTTTTGAGTCTCCACTGAATCTTTTCTATTCCTTCACCATCACCACCACCCCTTATCTGCCCATTAAACTGATAACCTATTGATTTCTATGCTTCCCCTGGTTTCCAAAAAGGTCAGAGAGCACATTTCTGGGGTTGTTTGGTTTTGAGTTTTGTTGTGAGGTTGTTGTTTTTTAATTTTTTTTTGTTTTATTTTGTTTTTCTAACAATACCAGGTTTGATCTTGAGCAATTGCATCTAGAACTCCCATTTATTCAACTGGAAAGCAGGCTTGTTGATGGCCGTATGTATCAGAAGCATGGAACATAGGTGCCCTATCTACATGTCCAGTACTAAGCACTATTCCATGCTTTTATTATGTTCCGTGGAGTTCCTGGGTTGAGCATATGGTTAACATCACACAGTTGCTAAGTGAAAGGTGGCAGATTCATATTCACCCAGAAATACCTCAGAAGAAAGGCCTGGTGATCTATATCCACTGATTAGCTATTGAAAAGCCTATGCAGCATAGTTCTAGCCTGACACCAGTAGGATTATCATGAAGTGGAATCAACTCAAGAGTAATTGGGTTGGGTTTATTAGGTTCTTTCTGCAAATGAACTACATTTTATTAAGTACTTGTGTGCAATGTTAGCATCTACAATATTCTTAGAAGGAGGAATAAACACACTTGAAATATCTTAATCGATCTGCTGCCTTCACGCCAAATTCCAAGGCTCTGCTGTTGATCACACAACAGATACAACTCTTCCTGAGAAAACCAGGCTGGAGGCCAACAGATACTTACTTGTTATGATAGCGAATGGCACCAGAAAGAGCCCGCACACAGATCCGGCAGCAGGTCAGGTGGACCAGTTCACTGAGCCTGTTTCTGAGGCTGAAGGAAAAAAGATAACATTTTTCTATGCAATTCTGGGCATGCCTAAGAAACAATGCACTGAATAATGTATAGGCCCTGCTACAGCAGCACACTGTGTTCAAAGGCACGTCCACAGCTCAATTGTAGTTTTGCTGAAGAATTTGTTTAATGGTCAACATTTGGTAAAAGAATTTTGGTAAAAAGAATTGAACACAATTGTAATAAAAAAGCAGCTCCCACCTTACTAAATCTGTTGTAACAAATTCCTAACAAAGTTAAGCAGAACTTTGGTGTGTGTGTGTGTGTGTGTGTGTGTGTGTGTGCCTTATGAACCAGCCAGTAAGACTCTCTCACTTTCCCTTGGTCTCCTTTATGCACGTAGTTTCTTCACTTCCCCTTTGAAAACACCAACCTCTTTCAATATTTATGAAAATATATCAGAAACTCCAGTAAACACTATGAAGGTGAAGGGAGTGGGATTCTAATAAGTGAGCTGTGGCCATAAATGTAATGCAATGCACAGAAATAAAATAAATGGGATCTTTGTTGACGCAACTAAGTGAAAGTACAGTCTTATTTATGACTGAAAAGAAGAAAATATTTCACCTGCTGTCTGGCAGCTGCCCAACCAGCGTAGTTCCTATAACGAGCAAACTAATCCCAATGAAAGCCAAGGTTATTCTGAAAAAGAGAGGAAAATGCAATGTAAGTTAGTTTACAGTAAGGGGGAAACAATTCAATAACCTGAAAATTCATAAATAAGAAAAAAAGCACATAGATGAAGGAACAAATCTAAAGGTAATGTTATAGAAGAATGGAAGAATGTCCCTTGGCTCATTTTAAGGGGAAAAGCAAAGTAAATTTCAGAACACATACAGCACTATATTTTCAAAATAAATACTTCTGAGCATCCAGGTTATAGATGTACAGAAAAAACCTGATCCTTTATCCATACGTTCATGTTTAAGCTCTGTAATCATCAAAAAAGGAAAAAAAGGATACTAAAGATAATTAAACAAAAAAAGTTTTCCTTTCTGCTCCTCTGCATTATCTTAATTTTTTTGTTTACACTCACTCAAAACTCATTGCCACTGAATCAGGATGGAATCAGAGCTGACCCTCTAATAGGTTTTTAGAAGCTGTCACAAGAGAGATGATTACCCATCTTTCTCTGTCAGAGCAGCTAATGGACTTCACTGTCTGTGGGTCAGTGCAACTCTCTATTCGTTGGCCATGAGAGTGCCTTTCTTTAACACTACTAAATATAATTTTTTTTTAAAATGGGTTTCTATTCTAAAAACAATTCCAGCTTGCTTGGTTCCATGATCAAAACTCTTGGCAATAGCAGTCAGGAACGAAAAAAAAACCTAATTGCACTGGAAAAATCTAGTGCCAAAGACCTCTCCAGAGTGCTAAAGAGTGCTTTGTCACTGTAGTGATTAAGGTGCTCCTGATCCAGGCCATGGTCTTTGCAATTACTTGCTATACCTCAAAGAGCTGGACAGTGAACAAGAACAACAGAAGAAAAATTGATGCCGTCAAGTTGTTGTGCTGGAGAAGAGTACTGAACACACCATGGACTGCCAAGAAAATAAACAGGTCTGTCTTGGATCGGGAGAAACCAAGTCTGTCCTTGAACGTTAGGATTTTGAAGAACTGACTCACGTATTTTGGTCATGTGGCCGAGAGGGATAGGTCCTTGGAGAAGGACATGATGCTTGGAAGGGTAGATGGAGAGGGAGACCCCAATGAGATGGATTGATACAGTAAATGGAGCAATGGCAGTAGGTATGTCCAAGTCAATGAGACTTGCTCAGGACAGGGAAGGCTTTAGAGCCATTGTACATAGGCTAGCTGTGAGTCACAGGTGACTCATCAGCAAATATAAAAAACAATATTCTAAAAAGCAACCTTCTAATACTGGAAAAGTAGCTGTAATTGTATTTTGGTATGTAGGTTGTTATTGTTATTGTTATAGCCATTGAGTTAGTATGACTAACAGCAACCCTATGAACAGCAGATATGAACTGTGTCCTATCTTGTGCCGTCCTTATCACCTCCAACATACTTGAACCCACGGCAGCAATCATGAGATGCAATACATCTCATTGCGGGTTTTCCTCTCTTTTGCTGACCTTCTACCTTATGATAGGTTTACCCTTCCAAGTATGATGTGCTTTTCCAAGGATATACTTGGTTATACAAGGAAATATTTTTTAAAGTCTGAAAATAACTTGCTACTCTGCATTTGAAACATACTATATTGACTGTTTTTTATTTAAGCCTCTTGTTTAGAGTCAACAAGACCCTGAGGAGGGACTTTGTATTTAAAACTTGGTGGTTGTTATATTTCGGTGGATTATTCTTCTAAGTGGTACAGCACTCTTCTGTCAATATGCTGTAGTGAGGTATTCTGGATTGGCTGTGATGCTGAACCTTGTGCCACTGGGGTGTCAAATGTCATAACAAGTTTAAGATAGGTTTGGAAGCAGGAGTGGCATCCACGTCCTAAACAACATGTCTCTGGAAACTCTATGAGCTTTGAGAAATGACAATAGTTATTATGGAAAGGCTTCAGGTCTTTTGTTCCTATGGATGCTAGCAGTGCTCAACTCAACAACAGCAGTCAACAACAACAAGAGGACTGGGAGATAACAATTAAAATTTTTCTCAAATTAATTGAAAAGATGTCTAGAGGTTCTTTCAAAGTATGTTGTTGTGTTGTTTTTATGTACTGATGGGTCAGAACCAACTTACAGTTGACTTTCTAGTGGGTTTTCAGAGTCTGTTAACTGCTGGAGTTTGCCCAGCTTTCTCCTGCATAGCAGCCGGTGGATTTGAACCATATTCTAATGGGTTATCAGCACAACTTCTTATCACTAAGCCAAAAGAGGTCCCTCAAAAGTAAAACCCCCAAAATATACCAGCATGTAGGAAGTCCCTTTAATGCAAATCTTTTTACATGGTTCAAGAAAATCCACGTGTTAGCATATAAAGAAACTGACAATATTTCTACTCTCCAACAGGTATTTTCTCACTTTTGAATTGTTTTTATTATATATGTAAATGACTTCAAAAAGAAAAAATATAAAATTATCCTTTAATAAAAATTACTCAAAAAGGAAAAGGTTAGGATTAAAAATCTTTCCAAATAATTGGAATTTAGTTTGGAAAGGATGAAAAAATTGTACTAAAAAAGATTTTTTAAAAACATTTTATTTTGTAAAGTGGGAGAAAGCCGAAATTAGCTTTGTTTGCCCTCTCAAACAGAACCAAAGGCCTATCTGTGTTTTCCCACTTTTCTGATGGGTATTTAGTATTATTTTAAATGGATGAAGTACCCAATGAACCTAACTTTAAGGAACAGCTATTACAGTGTCAGGAGGACCTCTTGGTTTTGGGCCTGCTAGAGGGCTACTTGAAGGAATGGCCAGCAGGAATCATGGTCAAGCTGACTTCCTCTTGACATGGAACCACCTTTACCTACTCATCGTAATTTACAGAAATTAATTTAGCTAATCGCCATTTTTATAATGTTGTGTGTCATCAAGTCAGAACTGACTCCTTAACTGACCTAATTAGGTGAACAATAACAGCAACTAATACTCTTCGTCAGACAATAGTCTATTTGTATTTAATACATTTAATTATCCCCAAAACTCATCCTCATTCAACACATGAGGAAACTGAGGCATATTGTTGCTGATGTATGTACATCAAATCGGAACCAATTGGTTCCTGACCCTTTACCAGGTTTTCAGAAGCAATTAAGCACCTGAGAGGAGACTGTCTTTCTCCAGCGGAGCTGCTGGTGCCTGCATGGCTCTGGGTTGACAACACAGCTCCTCCTTACCACTAAGCTGCCCCTGATCTCTCTGAGAGGCATAGAAAAGTTAAATAATTTTCCCAAGATTATATAGACAATAAACAGCAATAAATAGACAATAAAGGCTGATGTCAAAATCCAGTTAGCAAAGTGAAACTCCAGGGACATCTAAGAACACTCCTTACCATTAAGCAACCAGAGGTCCCAGTTAGTTAGAACTAGATAGTAAGAATCAAACACCGTTTTCTGGGTTGAAGCTAATGAACTATAAATGAAGCTAGCCAACTGCAATTAAATGCACCTCAAGTATTCCAAGTTGTGGAATTCTCACTCCCACAACTGAGACATGAAGAGCTAATCCATATATTAAATCTAATTAAAGTTTAATTTCCTTTAAGGAGCAACTGGGGCAGGGGGAGGGCTGTGCAAGGAGAAGTACAACAATGAATGAATGGAAATCCAAAATCTCTGTAAATGTTCATTAAAGTTAATAAAATAAAATTTTAAAAAACCAGCCAATCAAAACTATAACCTTAAAAAAAAAAACAAAAAAACAAAGACAGGAATCCTATTTCTAACTAGAAGTTTCTAAGAAAATGGTCTTACTTGCATGCTAATCACTATTTTTACATGTCCCTGGAGTATATGAGCCCTAGCTAGACAGCACTGGTTTAAGGTTCAAGCAAAAGGCAGATCTATGAACTTCACTTTACTAATACAGGTAAGGTTATTCCCAAAAGACATACTATGCCCCAATTTCTGGGCACTTGCAACAGAGGCAAAAAGAAAAGTTCTTAGAGAACTATATTTCTTCATACTTAAGTAATCGCTTCCCTTGTAATAAATCAGAATGAGGCAAGTATATGCCACTCGAGGGCTTGTAGTAAAGAGAGTCCAACTCATGTGCCAATTCTAACTGGCTGGAAGGAACAGCCTGGGAGGCTGCATCAAGAGGATGCCAAGGCCATTTCTGGCCCCAGAGAAAGGAAGCAACAAGTTCAATAGCAGTGTCATGGCTGGTGCACATGCCTACCACCTGCCCTATCCAAGTGAATGGACTTTGGCCAGTAGTTGCCAGTTCTATCCATTTCCAGTATCATGTCTACATTTTTTTTATTTTCTACACTGTGGTTGTAACAACCTGAGTTGCAGGCTGCCTCCTTATCAAGAGAGACAAGTAATTTGGAAGCAGAGGGGTTCCCAGGTGTAGAACTTTTATAAGAGCGAATAATTGTAATAGAATTAGATGGGAAGGAATTCAAACAGTTTCCCCCAGGGAGTGACCACTCACATTTCCTCTCACCAGGAGTGAGAATCATCTCCACAGCAAATCACATAACCACAGCAGCATGTCACTATGAATTGTATGCAGGTACAGACTAGCAAGGAGAAGAAACGGGCTGTGAAGCGCTGTTCCAGTTTGACACCCTGGTGAATGTCACACTAAATCCTTGCTCCTCTCCTTTTTATGAACTTCTCTTTTCTACCTTCAGATGATCGATGACTAATGACAGAGTGAAATCAGGTTGTCAAATATATGCTGCTGTTGTTATTGTTAGAGTCATCAAGTGATGACGACTTATAGTGACCCTCTGAACAACAGAGCTGAATCCTAGCCTGTGCCGTCCTCACCATCTCCAATATGCCCGAGCCCACTGTTACTACAGTCACCTTGCCAATCCATGCTGCTGACAGTATTCCTCTATTTCTCTGACTCTCTGCCTTTCCCAGCATGATGTCTTTTTCCAAGGACTGGCTGCTTCTCACAACAAGCCCAAAGCATGTGAGATGGAATACCATCACCGTTGCCTCTAAGCTGCACTCCACCCAGACTACACTTTGTCTAAAACAAACTTGTTTGCTCTTTTGCTAGCTTCTGGCATATTCAGTGCTCTTCCTCAGCCCTCCAATCCAGCAGCATCAATTCTTCTGTTATCCTCATTCACTGTCCAACTTTCAGATGCATAGCAAGCTATTTAAAAGACCAGAGCTCGGAGTAAGTAAATCTTAGGCTTGAAACAATATTTTTGCTCTTTAGCACTTTGGAGAAGTCCTTCCTGGATAGCAAATTTTCTCAATGCAACACTTCATTTTCTTTCTTGATTGCTAATACCAACGGTGCTAATTATAGATCTAAGTAAGACAAAATCAGTGAAAACTTCATTCTTTTCTCCATCTATTATGATTTTGCCTATTGATTTAGTTGTGAGGATTTTTGTTTTCTTGATGCCTAAATATAATCTATATTGAAGGCTGTATGCAGTCTCTGGTTTTCTGCAGCAAACATCTCAAGTCCTCTTCACTTTCTGCAATCAAGTTTATGTCATATGCACAATGCAAGTTGTTGATGAGTTTTCCTCCAATCATGATGCCATATTCTTCTTCATATAGTCCAGCTTCTCATATTATTTTTTCATCATACAGACTGAATAGGTACAGAGAAAGGATATAATCCTGATGCACACTTTTCCTGATTTTAAACTATGCATTGTCCCAGCTCTGCTCAAACAACAGCCTCTGGGTCTAGGTATAGGCTTTGCATGAGCACAATTAAGTGTTCTGGTATTACCATTTTTCACAATGTTAGACACAGTTTGTTATGATCCAAATAGTCAAATGCCTTTGCATAGTCAATAAAACACAAATAAACATCATTTTGTTATTTTTCTGCTTTCATTCAGTATCTATCTAATATCAGTAATGATATCCCTTGTGCCACAGCCTCTTCTGAATGCACTTGAATTTCTAGTAGTCCCCTGTCAATGTGCTATTATAGCTATTTTTAAATCATCTTCAACAAGATTTTGGAAGTAAAATATAAACTGAATTATAAATATACATCTTTCTATGGAGAGATATATCAAAAGAATCAAACTCAGAATAGTTAAGTTGGCTCATTGCTGACCCTCCATAGGGTTGTTACCTTATACCAACACTATCTCATTAACAGAACAAAGAAAACTCATTCCCAACTGAGATTATAGTCTATATATCAAATCCACTGGTATCTAATACATTACAACTCATGGGGATCTTTCATCAGATTTCCTGGGCTGTAAGTCTTGACAGAAGGAAACTGTCCATCTTCCTACCAAAGAGTGGCTGGAAGATTTAAACTGTTGGTCTCTACGTTAGCAGCACAATACATTCCCAGCACCAAGCTCTTAACCAAAGGTATGCTGTTCCTTTTGTGTACCTTCGAGTCAGAACCGACTCAGAGCTGACCGTCTTAGTGGGTTTTCAGGGGCAATAAGTCACACAGAAGAGAATGTCCATTCTGCTTCCATGGAGCAGCTGGTGGACTTGAATTGTGTGCCTTTGGGGTTTTAGTGCAACTTCTTACCACTAGACCACCATAGCTCCCTAATTACAGGAAAAACACACATTTTAAAAGAACACAGTTTACAGCAGTACTACAAAGCTCTTACACAGCATCAGTGATTTAAAAAGGAAATTAAGCCCATTTATACCGTCAAAGACAACTGGTGACTTACCGCAGCGGCAGAAGAAAACAGTAGCGTACTATGATGCCCAGCACCCACACCATGGTGAGCCGAGGACTGAGGTACTGGAAATTTACATTAGTCCTTGTGAGGAGATTCCATGACATAAGCTCCTCTGAGGAGAACCTCTGGGTTACTTCATCTTCTACAATGGCTTCCAATCCCTTCTTGGAGAAATAAAACACATCAGAGAGCTCAAAGTCTCTTTCTCGAAGACCAAAGAGCCCTTTCTCCATGGGTGACTCATCTCTTTGGATAATACCTTAAAAGAAAGCATAAGATACATTATAAAGTGAACTGGAGGAAGAGGAAGGGAAGAAAATGTGTATTGAATGAATGAAACCCAAACTTTCTATTTAGTAAGCCCCACCCTACTAAACACTTATATAAGCTGACGGGACCTCAGTGCTAGCTCTCTATCTGGCATGCCTGCTTTCTGGCTCACTATAAATGATAGTCTACAATGATTACCAGTCTCTTCAAAACCAGCCTGCATATCTTCTGCTGTGTCAAGCATTCCCTTGACAGATCTGCATCTCTGGGAGACCTTCCAGTTAAACACTGAACCAAGGGACATAGAGGAGTGAAGGACCTGAACAAGGGACTGCCAATGTCAGAAATCAGAGTCATACAGCAAATCAAGTATTTGGTACACTGTTGACTTTACACTTCCTGTAACTGGTCTGCTACTAATATTGGCAGAACAAATTACAAATAGAGACATGTAGCTATGTGAAGCTATTCCTTAGAAAGGATATTGTGTTTGTAAAACTAGAGGGTCAGAGAAGGAAAGGACCCCACTGCACCCCAAAGCGATGGATTGATACAGTGACTGCTGCAATGGTCTCTCTCCAAGGAATAACACCTCCTAGCAACACGTCCAAAGCATGTGAGGCAAAGCCTCGTCCTTCTTTCTTCCAAAGTGCAAATGGTTAAGCACTGAACTATTAACTGAAAAGAACTTTGATCAGGTCCCAAAAGACCACAAACTCACAAACTTGCTTACATGAGGTCCACAGGAATCAGAATTGACTCACAGTAATTATGAACAATATAATGTACACAATATATCCATTTGTTCCTTTGATGTATGTATCATAGGTATTTACTTCCTACAATACAATATCTTATTTTTGTAGTAGGAACGTGGGTGCATGAGCGATTTGTGTGACCAGCTGCTAACATAAAGGATGGCAGTTCAAGCTCACCCACTAACTCAGCAGCTGATCGCCCTGCTGTTTCCCTAAACATTTCAACCAAGAAAACTTTTGCAACTCAATTTTTCTTGGTAACAGGGTTGCCATAAGATAAGGGCCAACTTGTTAGTACTTAATAACATTTCCTCAGTGCCTTTCAATGACTGAGACGTTAAATCCCTGAAAGATGACCCATTATTTGTTTCTTCACATTTCAACTTACTGAGATACCAGTGAATAAAGTGGAAGGTGTTACAATGTACCATTGGCTAGCTCCTGGAGTATTTATACTGCTATCAGTAGAATATTAGATGGATCTTAGCTGAAAGCAAACAGAATCAGAGAAATGTATATGTTTCATTGACTAGACAAAGGTGTTTGACTGTGTTAATTACAACAAATTGTGGCTGACTCTGAGCAGAGTGAGAATCCCTGAATACTTGACTGTGCTTAGGCAAAACCTATACTTGGAACAAAAGGCAGTCAGTCATCAGAATAGCACAAGGAAGCACTGCATGGATCAAAATCGGGAAAGGTGTACGCCAGGGATGCACCCTTTCTCCATACCCTTTCAATCTATATACATAACAGATCATCCAGGAGGCTGGGCTCTATGAGGAGGAAAGTGGCATCAGGATTGGAGGAAGATTCATCAATAACCTGTTATGCAGATGACACCACCTTGCTTTCTGAAACTGAGAGAGACCTGAAGCATTTGCTATAGAAGGTCAAGAACTGCAACCTTCAATATGGATTGAAACTCAACATCAAGGAAACAAAGATTCTCACCACTGGGCCAATTGGCAGCATCATGACAGATGGTTGAAGAGATTGAGATTGTTAACAGCTTCGGTTTGCTTGGCTTCACAACTAACACTCTTGATAGCAGCAGCCAGAAAATTAAAAGATGAATTGCACTGGGGAAATCTGTGGTCAGGGATTGCTCCAGAGTGCTAAAGAGCAATGATGTCACTATAGAGACTAAGGTGTGCCCGATCAAGGTCATCATCTTTGCAATTACTTGTTATGCATCAGAGAGCTGGATGATGACTAAAAAGAAGAGCCAATGTCTCTGCGTTGTGGTGCTTGAGAAGAGTATTGAATATACCATGGACTGCTAGGAGAACAAATAGGTTTGTGCTGGCCAGGGTGAAACCAGGCTTCTCCTTGGAGGCAAGGATTTTGAAGCTCCATCCTTGGGCATGTTGCCAAGAGGGATCAGTACTTGGAGGACATTATGCTTGGGAGGGTGGAGGGACTGCAGAGAAGAGGAAGACCCTGGATGAGATGGACTCAGTTACTGATGTATGAGAGTAGGTGTGCTGTAGACAATGAAACTGGTTTGTAGCATTCAGAGCTGTTGTACATAGAGTCGCTATGAGTCACAAGTTACTCAGCAGCACCCAACAACACCACCACATCTGTATTACTTGTGGAGGGGTTTGGGAACTGTTTTGTTTCTAAAGAGGCAGCATGATACAGTGGAGGAGAAAAGAAAAAGGATTGGAATTCAAGTCCAGTTCCACTGGGGACAATTACCAATTCTATGGATGTAGATAACAGGTAAGGAGTTGAACTTAGATTCCTGTCTATAAAATGAGAGAATAGGAAAACCTTTAGCCTCCTTCTGCCACCACTACCAGTTAATCATCAAATCAACTCTTGGTGACTCCACGGATTGCGAGTAGAACAATCCTCCATGGGGTTTCAGTGGTGCAATTTTCAGAAGCACACTGTCAAATCTTCCTTCCCTAGCACTCCTGGGTGAACTGAACCGCCAATATCAAGGCTAGCAGCCAAACACACTGACCATTGATACTATCCAGGGACTCTGTTTCTGTGGTTTTACTCTATTAGACCTACATTCAAAGCAAATAGCTAATGTTATTTTTAACTAGAGTAATTAAATTATTAGATTGAGTATTTAATAGTCAAATCTATGTGTTTTACCCTTTCTTCAGAATCTTTCAAGAATGCTTAATTAGAGGGGGCAGTAGGTGAAGAAATGGAAAAGATCTACTGTGAAAAACAACATATACAAACTCTGTAAAGAAACCAGTATAATAATTTCAAAAAAGGATAGTGTTAAATGAAGGGGGGGGAAGTACTTAATTACTATTAGAGGAGGAGCCAAGTTACTGTCCCTATGGAATTGCACTCTTGCTTTATTGGCATTTCATTACTATTCCAAGTGAGTTACTCAATCCAAGTACTGACCAAAATCTAGCTATGCAAAAGTTTTATCACTTAGCAACATACAGGTATGGGGGGAAGGGGGTTTTCAGTCTAGAGGGAAAGGGAAAAGGTTATTTCTCAGTAAAATGTCTGAATGGAACACACTGGGGACAGTGGCAGTCTTTCTAAAAATAATACTTTTCAGAGGGGCCAGAGAGAAGAATGTCTGCTCATGTTACCTCATACTATTTAACTGAGTCAGGCTTCTGTAAAAAAGAGAGGCTAACTCTTGATGTCCAGTACTTTCTCTGCCCCCTGACCTAGTTTATTTTGTGTCTGTCCACATAGAACTCATTTCTCTATTCTGGTTAAGCTTCTATCAAAACTATGTGGATATCTTACCCTGAAGAGACCATAGCTGACATCCAAGCAGATATATGCACACCCATGTTTATTGCAGCTTTGTTCACAATAGCAAGGAGTTGGAAACAACCTAAGTGCCTATCAACAAACGAATGGCTAGAGAAGCTGTGGTATATTCGCACAATGGAATACTACGCTGCATTAAAAAACAAGGAACTCATGCAATATTATTCAAAATGGTTGACTCTGGAGAACATTATGCTGAGTGAAATATCCCAGTCACAAAAGGACAAATATTACATGATGCCACTGTTGTAGAATGGGACTGTCCTTGGGGTTGGGGAGACACTGAGTAAGATGGGTTCAATAATGTATACTGCACTGAAGCAGAGGAGGGAGAGAACCGTCTAAAAGAGAGATGTAACTGGGTATTTCTGTCATCACAGGAGACTAGAGCGAGGGCTCCATGGTGGAGGGGACCTGGGGGAGGGTTTGTAAAACAATGAAAGAATCTTTTCTCTTACTTTTCCATAATTTTTGGACTCATGTACTTATAACTTGTTAGTCAAATTTGTGTCTTCTAGGTTGCAACACCCCCATGATACATCTTCAAGGATATGTACATGTACAGCCAAGCACAATCAATAAGAGTGCATCTGAATTCCAAAATCAATCTCCATAATAGTCTATGTGTTTCCTACTGCCAAAGGGGCCCTTTAGAGTAGTGAGAGAAGATCTTCACCCTGAAACCCACAGCGTCCCTTTTCAGCAGGAAGTAGCTAAGAGAATACGCCATCCCCTTTTCCTTATGACCCAGGGTGAAGTCTCTCTCAGGGAGGAGTGATAGGGAATGGCAAAGGATACACTGACAAAGAAGATTAATCAGAACTGGCTTTGACAAGCACTGTGGCATTTGGACAAGAACAAACTGGGAGGAGGGTAGAGAGAATAGTGCAACAATGAATGAGTGGAAGCCCAAAATCTCTGTAAATGTTTATGAAAATTAATAAAATATAATTATAGAAAAAAAAACAAAACTATGTGGATATCTACAATGCATATATTTGACAACTGCTCAATTTTCACAATAGCTAAAGATTTAAAGACCTCCAATGTTAAAAATGGACTAAAAATATGGGTAACAAGTCATAAAGCAATATTCCTCCACGTCAAACAAGCATTTGAAAAGACATTCAACTCACTAATCAGAAAAATTCAAATCCAAATTACATTGATATTTCATAACTATCAGAATTTGGGAAAGATTTAAAAGCTGTCATTATCATGAAATAATGGGTATAATTAGTACAACCACATTGGTAAAACAATTTGGCCGTATTTACTAAATTCAAAGATACTGATGGCTTGCTCATTGCTGTAAAGTGGATTCTGACCCATAGAATAGAGTAGAACTGCCTTGTAGGATGGAGTAGAATTGCTTTGTAGGGTTTCCAAGGCTGTAAATCTTGATGGAAGCAGATTGCTTCCTCTTTCTCCTGTGTAACAGCATGTGGGTTTAAACCACCAA